GTGTGAGTGTGTGTGAGTGTGTGAGAGAGTGTGTGTGAGTGTGTGAGTGTGTGTGTTTGTGAGTGTGTGTTTGTGAGTGTGTGAGTCGTACTGGAGTGGAAGGGGCTGGAGGGCGGCTGCGGGGAGTCGAAGACGCTGCAGATCTCGGTGGAGCTGGATGCGGTGGAGGCTGGTGGAGGTGTCAGTGGAGTGCGGGGAGAGTTGGGCGCTGAAGCGATGCTGCTCTCCGTCTCGCTGTCTGGGATGCGGCTGTAGCTGATCTTCCGGGGCTCGTTCTGCAGCGGCGTCGGGTGTCGCATGGTTCCCGGGCGGACGGATGACGGGCGAACACCCGGAGACTTCAGAGGACAGCTGTACTTCTTTGGCTGTGAGAGGAAGACAAAATGAGAAGAAATTCCACAATCTATCTATCTACTTCATGACTTAACTGACCATGACATTGCATGCACGTAGTTTCTTTTGCGATTTGATATGAAAATGTTTTTACTGTCACTTTTGATCAATTTAATGGGTCCTTGATGATGCATTAATTATTAATTTCTTCTAAAAAATGGTAGTGTAATTAATGTGAGCAGTGTTTCTGACCCGTATGTCGTTTTCCACACGTAAGCAGTACGGCTGGTTCTGGTACTGCTGGATTTCTCCGGTTATTTCCGCCACTTTCCGCCGTTTGCTGAAGTTGATCAGTTCCTTGCCATGTCTCTTCAGGAAGTCTGGATTTCCCTCCTCAGTTTTCAGAATATTTGTTAAATAAATCCCTAAAATGAGCAGATCACAATCAAACATACAGTCCCGTCAGAAACCAAAACAGCAATAAAATAATGAAAAAGGTAATTGCGACATTTTATCTCACGATTCAGGCTTTGTTTCTCGCAAATCTGAGTTTATATCTCACAAATTAGGACTTTTTTTTTCTTCAAATTGCGAGTATATCTCACAATTATTTTTTTTTACTTATCAGAACTGTGAGAAATTCTGAATTGTAAGATAAAAAAAAAAGTCACAATTACTTTTTTTAAAAATTCCAAGCTGAAAACTAAAGAAAACTGAATTCTGAGGAGAAAAGTCAGAATTGCGAGATATAAACACAAAATTGTGAGATAAAACTTCATAATTTTGAGAATAAAATGAGTGTTGCGAAATAAAAACAATTGTGATATGCAAACTTAGAATTACTAGATATAAACAGAATTGCAATATAAATTCACAATTTAAACTCTCAATTTTGAGGAAAAAAGTCAGAATTGCAAGTTAGGGCTGGGCGATATGTCCAAAAAATTATCACGATCATTTTTTCCCATATCAGTCGATATCGATAATTATCACGATAAATGTCAAAAAAAAAATTTCTTTCAAGTTTAAAGCCAGATTTTTGCTCCAATGTGAAAGTTGTAAAAACCAGACGGTTAATTGTGGTTTTAAACTATTCTTTACGGTCAGAACATGACAAACACTTCACATTTTTGAATTCTTTACACTTTTACAGTCATTTTTCCATAACAAAATAAATATCTTAATAGAAAAAAATGTTTTTCTTAGTTCTGCATGTTCTAGTAATGAGTAATATTGTTCCAAATCAAGAAACAGGTTTGTGTTGCCTGATAATATTAATAATATAAAAAATTTTGTCTCTAAGAAATACACATTTGATAGTAGCTTGAGTTAGGATGCAGATGTAGGTTTATATTCATTATCAAAATCAGTTGTAAGTATTGTAACAATCTAATTTTTTATGGTGGATTATTATTTTTTTTAAACCATTGGTCTTCCATAGTATACATTTAGATCATGATAATCACAGTTAAAACCACAAATATAGCACCTCAATACCATGGTAAAAATGTAATATGGCTTCTAGGTATTTGTATGAAAAATACCTAGGAGCCATATTTTTACTATGTTTTTCCTCAAAAGTCAGAATTGCAAGATATTAACAGAATTGAGAGATTTAAATTTAGAATAGTAAGACATAAATTCACAATTTTGAAAAATAAAAAATAAGTCCATCTTGCGAAATGTAAACTCAGTATTCAGAGAGAAAAAAGCCTGAATTGCGAGATATAAACAGAAATTTATTTTGAAAAAAGAAGTCCATCTTGTGAAACGTAAACTCAGAATTCAGAGAGAAAAAGAGACTGAATCGCGAGATAAAAACTCAGAAATCTGACTTTTTTTCCCCTCACAATTTTGAGAAGAAACTGAGGAAAAAAAGTCTGATTTGTGAGATAAAATGTTGCATTACCTTTTTTTATTCCATGGCAAAAACTTCAAAAAACATGTGCTTCTTTAGAAAGCACATGTGTAAAAAGAAGGACGTACCAAAGAAGGGCACACAAGGGGGGTTGATGGACCTGAGTTTAGCCAGATATTTCTTATAATGATCTTCACTGAGTTCATGAGCTTCCTCCAGAATCTTCCTCTGTCTGCTCGGGATTTGCTGAAATACAATCACACGCAGGACGAGTTACACGCTGAACTGTAATAGCTCTAGTACTAGTGAAGAGCAACTAATCCAACAGTGCTAATGTAAACGCGCTCACCTCGAAGGTGTGGTCGAGTCTGTAGATGGGCGATGAGTTCATGGCGCTCACCACCTCCAGAACGCCATTGAAGTTATTGAGCTCCTGAAAGACCTGCAGGATCTCGATGATGCGCGATATGATGGACACGCGCTCCTCCACGTTCTCCGTTTCTACGATGCACCTGAGAAACATGAGAAACCGTCAGAAACCCACACATATGTGAGTGATACGGCTCTGAATTAAACACACGAGAGCGTACTTCTCGAACCACAGCGTGAGGTTGGTGGTGTGGCGGATCATTCGCAGCAGGTTCGGGGAGTTGATCTCTTTGTCTTCTTTAGTCCAAACACTGCCGACCGTTTATGCAGAAGAGTTCCTGTAACCAGCCACCACCCACAGTGAAATCTCATTGGCTTAAAATCCAGTGCATCATTTTCCCTTTCAGAAATAATGATGGACAGAAAAACGATGGGAATTACATTGGAATACGGTTACATCATGCCTGGTTAGGACACTATGACATTTATTTTATTTTCTCACAAATTTCATGTTTTCCGTTTTTATTTTTCTGGATTCCGTTTAATGGTGTGCATTTCTAATCAATTTAATTCATATTTATCATATTTAACTCAATGCAATTTTTTTTTCAGAAATTCTGTTTTCTGTTTGAATTTTTCTGGATTCCATTTTTATGGTTTAACTGAATTTTAATAATCAAAAAGGATGTCTAATCAATTGAATTCATAAAACTTTAACAATTTACAATTTTAACAATAACAGTTCCCTAAGAAATGTTCTATTTTTGTTGCTAAATGGTGCTAATCAAATTGATACATAAAACTTTAACAATTTAAAATAATTATTGCTGTCAATCAATTAAAAAAAATTAGCTAATTAAAAATTAACTGATTAATCGCGATTAATCCCACCTAACATTAAAGTTTTAAACATACATTTATATTGCAATAATTTTTACATTCAACCTTCAAATTAATGTACACACAACATAGACAGTATATTTTTAAATATTTGTTTAATGCCATCTTTTATTTATGACTGAAGGCCAGTATCACTGATACCAATACTACTGATGTCTCTATAAAATAGTTTTTTCCCCTAATATTTAACCATTGACTAGCCATTCAACATTACAGTATAATTGAGAGCTATCAATTTTAACATTTATTAGACTTTTAAAAAATAACATCTAATTTTAGTGAACTTAAAACAATCTTCACATAAACCCATTATAATAAATGTCATATTTAGATACCTGTGCCCTTCAGCAGAAATATACAGAAATTGAATAAAGTTATCAAACGCTACATTCTAAATTAAACATAGATGAACCCCTTAAAGCTATAAAAGTTCTTTATTTCCTCTTTGATTAACAGACAACACAGCAGCTGGTTATTAGGTTGTTTAGGATGCTATTACTTTAAGAGCTGCCGCTGCTGAACGTGACGCAGATCTGACGCGCATTGTATTTTCTCTCAACTCTCTTTACCTTTTCTCACCCACTTCAGGTCTTAAAGTCTCTATAATGAGCTGATGAGTTGAATCGGGTGTTAGATGAGTGAGACAGTGCTGGGCTCCAGGACAGTTTTGAAAACCATTTCAGAGACA